GTCAAGTCTTAACCCCAGGCGACATGGATATTGGCATTTCACAAATTTTGAAAAGAGTTATATGTAGTTAACAGTTTTGCTGGTGACAGTGGGCTTTTCTTGTCATTAGCTTATTCTTCCCCCCTTCCACTCATATTTCTATACCAGTGTTTTACCTTTAGCTTCAAAACAAAACACAGAAACTTTTGAAACACAGTTGGGAACATTTGATCACTTGGCACACAGAACTGGCTAGCAGTAGGCCCTCCCTATCCCCCTGCCTAACCATCCTAGTTTGGGTAAGAACTTTAAAATCTCAGATAGCGAGATAGAATTCTACCAGTTGTCAGCTGTTTCAGAGTGGGTGTAAAAAGTGGGGCTCTGAATATCACATTAGAGGCAGGAATTTTGAAGAATGAGAACCTACCCTCACGTATTAATTCATTCATTCAACCACCACTGACCCGTACTTGCTCTTCCTACTCCATTCTTCCCTATAGAGGATATAAAGATACTTTTTAGGTGTGGAAAGCAAGATCTACAAGGAGGAGATAGTGAAGTGAAAGAATGAATGAATGCATGCATGAATGGTGAAGCATTTTCTAAAGTGAATGCTTGTCCAATGCTATCCATCATTTTAAGCACTGAAAAACTAGTCATACCTCCTCTGCAAAACTATTTTGTCTGATCCAGTCCTCACTGAAACCACCACACCTCAGAATTCCCTCCACCTCTTATTTGAGTCCTCTCTTACATTGTTTTCGGTTTACATCTAGATCCATTTCATTTTTGCAAATAGATCATTAACTTCTTGAAGAGAGTTATTACATCTCAGTAATTGAGATTGGGAAAAATAAATAGAAAATATCTATAAATCTTTTGATATATCCAGGTTTTCCACAATTCTAAGAAAAACATGAATCTGAACACTATCAAGGTGTACTATGAATAACACACTAGAGTGGAAATTATTTACTGCATGCCAAAGGGGTGCTAGGGATTATGCTATATGCTCCTGATGCAAAACTAAGTGAGACAAGATCCATGCAAGCAGGCAGCATTTAAATAGATCACTATTTAATGATAGAGCATAGTAAGTGCTATGATAGATGTGGGAACTCAGCCCCATTGAAGCCCAGAAGACAAAGCGATCCCAGGGAGGGAGCCCAGGGGACAGATATAAAGGTTTCACATGGGAAATGGCAGCTGAGCTGATTTTTAAGAAACAATATGAACTTTGCTGGTGAAGTTTCAAGGGCTAGGTGGAGATGGAGAAAGGAGTGGTCATTCTCAGCAGTATGAATAGCATGTGCAAAGGGTCATGAAGGAGTATCAAGTGTTTCTTGTGGTAGGAGCATGGTGGTGGGAAATTGCTGGATTGGCAGTTGAAGCTTCTTGTGAAGGCCCTCATGCCTTTTAGGCTGTTTTTCCTATAACAAAAGTGTGCTCATGTTGAACTGGAAGAAGGTAAGTGACAATCATATTAGTGTTTTAGAAACTGTAGGGTAGGACAGAGCATGTAGTGAGGAAAGATGCTTATGGAAGAAAGGTATGGAGATATTTTAATAGTTGAAGCAAAGGATGATGTATCTAGACTCGGGGTCCAGAAACTTTTCTGTAAAGAGCCAGATAGTAAACATTTTAGGCTTTGTTGGCCTCATGGCCTCTGTCTCAACTACTCAACTCTGCTGTTGTAGTATGAAAGTAGCCATAAACAATACTTAAATGGACATGGCTATGTTCTAATAAAACATTATTTACAAAAACAGGCATTGGGTCAGATTTGGCCTGGTGATAGTTTATCCACCTCTGGTCTAGATTAAAGTAATAGTGAGGATGGAGAGGAGAGGCTGTTTGTGAGGTCCACTGCTGAGGTGAAATCTCTCTGGTTAGTGAGAGTGAGAGGATAGAGTCTAGAATGAGTATGGTAATGCCATGTTTGAAATACAAGGAAATGGAAATGCTGGTGAAACATTTAATGAAACAGGAGTTGAAATGTTTTTTAGGAGAAAGGTGATTATTTCATTTAAGATAACCTCATGTTGACTTTGAAGAACCATGGAAGTAGATGTCCAGTAGAAAGACTCTTCTCATGTTTCCATATTGGATATCTTTGGAAGATAGAGGTATTTCCACCAAGTCATCCTAAATGCCAATTTGTACTTTTTTATATTTATTGATGATTTTATTGACAAATGTAGTGGTTTACTTTGTCTGTACTCCAGTAAAAGAGATCTTATTCTAAGGATTTCATGGAAATAAGAGAGACGAGAATCTCAACCCCAGGAACTCTTTCCCTCACAATTATGCTAGTGTATTCCACCAAAAGCTTCATAGCATACAGTTCTTCTTCCTAGCACCATCCTAAATCTACTAGCTAATAATATGTCTTATTAAGCTTACTAGACTATAATCTCCATGAGGGAGGAATCATGCCTGCTTTGTTCTTTGTTGTTCCTCTGGCTACTAGCAAAGTGCCTCGGATGCAGTACCTGCTCAATAATTATTTGTTGAATATATAACTTAATGAATAACCATTCCACATAGGAGCTCAGGACAGACACACAGACAGACCTTAAAAAAGAACAGGAATTGTTTTTGTTTTTCTCTGTTTTGTTTTGTTTTATGAAAACCTAGACATATTTTTGGAGATCATTGAGAATCCACTATAACTAGCAACTTAGTTATTTTGTCATCCCATCAGCAGCTGAAATTCAGTGATCTCAACTGTCAGCTGTTAACCTGACTCTGCTATTCTTCTGTTTCTCCTTCTCCACATGTCTTCTGTTTCCATTACAACCATCTCACTTTCTTTTTAAATTTCTTGCATTCAAATTCCCTGATTTTCCTTGTTGGGTAAAGCTTTCATGCCAGGATTCTTTAAAGACCACTGGCCATTAAATGTCCTTGGGTCAGTTACCATCCCCTGTTCAAATGACACGTAGTCAGGATGGTGGGGTCACTTGGCAAAAAAGATGACAACCATATGTAAGGAATTGCTTAGCATAGCTTCCCTCATGAGTAGATGGGGCAATTTGTCTGAGGAGAGGCCTGTAGGTATGGCAGGCATCTAGAGACGCCTCTTTAGTAAAGCAAGTATTTTTAGAATACTTGGCCAGGGCATCATGTTGAGAAAAAAAATGCAATTAAATGGATATTTCATGTATAAAAGTTTTTGCCTCAATCATCTGGATAGTCTTGGCAAATGCATGCTTTGACATTCATTACCCAGAAAGTTGCCTGGGGGTTCTATTTTACTTTTAAGAACAACAACAACAACGTTTTGCAAGGTATTTTTAAAAGACTTTATTTCTCAGAGAAGTTTTAGTTTCATAGCAGTTTAGAGCAGAAGGTCCAAAGATTTCCCATACACCCCCTGCCCCCCACACATGCATAGCCTACTCCAACATAAATATTCCCCATCAGAGTGGCACATTTGTTACAACTGATGAACTTACATTGACACATCATAATGACTTGAATTTCATAGTTTACGTTAGAGTTCACTCTTGGTGTAAGACATTCTGTATGTTTGTACAAATTTATAATGACATGAATCCACCATTATAGTATCATACAGAATAGTTTCACTTCCCTAAAAATCCTCTGTGCTCTACCTATTAATCCCTCCCTCTCCCTACCACCTGGCAACCTCTGATTTTTTTTTAAGATTTTATTTATTTATTTGACAGAGAGAGAGATAACGAGAGCAGGAACACAAGCAGGGGGAGTGGGAGAGGGAGAAGCAGGCTTCCTGCTGAGCAGGGAGCCCGATGTGGGGATTGATCCTAGAACCCTGGGATCATGACCCAAGCCGAAGGCAGACGCTTAACGACTGAGCCACCCAGGCACCCCCAACCTCTGATCTTTTTACTATATCCATAATTTTGCCTTTTCCAGAATGTCATACAAGTGGAATCATACTACAAGGTGTATTTTTATTTATTTTATTTATCCCTCCCACACCCGTGTGTGTGTGTGTGTGTGTGTATGTGTATCAACAAGCTAATGGTATAAGTAATGTTAGCTTCCCCACTGAGAAATAGAGAAATTTAGATTGTCCTGCTCATTTGGAACACCAACAAAAGAATTATTATTAAATAATGAGGACCTTGGATTTCTGAGCCCATAGTACATACCTGACACTCACTGTTCTGCCAAAAAATAAAAATTGTCATTTAGTAGAAAAACAATAAATAGAGCATCCAATGCCCTGTGAGTCTAACAGAACTGAGATCCAGGTTAAAAAAAAAAAATCATCTTATGCAAAGAATGACCCATCCCCAAACAATTGCCTGGTCACTGTGCCCCAGATTCCAAATAATGATGAGAACTGTCAGGATCCTTTCCAAGAGTTGATATCCACTTTAATCAGGGGTTTGAACTTAAATGTGGTACAGTTTTCTGTATCTTTATCCCTTTTAGCAATTAAGATAATCTGGATGTAAGGGCTGGCAAGGATGAATCCACCTGAGTCCCTCAAGTGATTGAGCTCGTCAAGCAAATGCACAGAGAGGGCTAAGCCAAAGGTTTTATAGAAATCTCCTGTAGCTCCGCCAGGGCCAAGAACTTTCTCTTGGGGAAGATTTTTAATTACTTCATCTATTTCTGAAAGTAGAGGGGAATCCAGCAATTCCCCAGTCTTCTGCAAATCACCTAGACAACTCGGAAGGAATGAGAACTGACTGTTTATCTGTTCATGATATCAAGTTCTAATTTCTGTTTCAGTCTTCATCCTATTTCTGAAATAACTTACTAAGGTGTCCTGGGCCTATATTTGTCTTTTTCTCCTTTGGGCACCTAACTCCCATTATAGTTATAAGATTATTGCCGGAGCTCAGCAGCCAGCAAGAGCAATCGCTGGCTCTCATCCTCCCACTGGTGCAGGTACTGCCTCACTGAGTGATGGATATCTTCACTTTATGGGTTATGAGTGAGCTCAGAGCCACTAGGGCAGAAGAAAAGTTTGCTTATAACTTTTGACAAAGGTTTTCCTCCAAGTCTGGATTCTGCCTTTCTTTCCTAGATAGGTTGTTTTCTCAATCAACTTTGTCCATGTATATTGTTGTTGAATAGGAGAACTAGAGTCACAAAATAGCAATAATCGTGCCTCGGATAAACCTCATTGGCTACGATACTGCCACTGCGCAAAGCTAGAGTCACAAAATAAAACAAGGGAGCAGCCAACAATATTCAGGACATACCTATAAAGGAAGCAACAGTCATCACAAATCCTTTGGGGAAATAGATGAGTATGAAAAAATCCAATAAATGAAATATAGATTAATAGATTTCAGAGCAGCAGAAACATTTTAACTTTGGTTAATCTGTGTCATCCAATGTGTTTTATGACAATTTAGGAAACTAAACCAGGAAATCCATTTCACCAAATCTACTTTCATGCATCTAAAGACTCTGAAAGCTTCACGTAACAAACATTTTATTTCACTGAGAAGACATTCACTATGACAAATTAGGAGTTTCTCAAGCGACTTGTTTTAAGAGAAGACTTTTTAAAAATTTGTAACTAGATCGCAACTAGTAATCAAAACACATAAGATGCATTTTTATAGGTTTCCCTTCTAAATAATCATGACCCCTCAATGTAAGAGAATTTATTTTCCAAAATACAGTATGGTCTACTTCAAAATGTAGGTCACTACTCAAGTATTTTATAGCACATCCTACAGTTTTATTTATTATCAAACACTGTCATTTCCACTTAAAAAAAAATCTTTACCTTTCCACATTAGGTTCTAAGTTCTTTTTTTTTTTTAAGATTTTATTTATTTATTTGAGACAGAGAGAATGAGAGACAGAGAGCATGAGAGGGAAGAGGGCAGAGGGAGAAGCAGACCCCAAGCTGAGCAGGGAGCCCGATGTGGGACTCGATCCCGGGACTCCAGGATCATGACCCGAGCCGAAGGCAGTCGCTTAACCAACTGAGCCACCCAGGCGCCCTAGGTTCTAAGTTCTTAAAGTCATGTCACATTTTATGTTTTAAGTTTTGCATAATTATGTAGACTTTTAAGCTTAAACTTCCCCCAAAGTATTTATTTGTTATGTATTTTTATGATCATTATTAATAAAATTGAGTTTTGTAATATTTTTAAGTAAATTTTAATGAGCCTCTTCAGATACTTGGCATTGGGCCTCCAAAATTTGTACTGTGTTTTCCAAGTTGTTTAGACAGCAACTTGATCAATATGGTAATTTTCTGGAAACTCTCTTCTTATTATAGTTGATTATTTTTAATTAACTCAAATTTAGTTGCTAATCTGTTATAATCCTTAGTGATGCATGGCACAAGCATGTCTTTTCCTAGTCAGCAAGCATTGATAGCAGAATTTCTGGGCTCTGGTCTCCTCTATAGACCTACGAAAGCACTAATTATTTGTCCCCCTGGGTGCAGAAGGGGAAATTAAAAGCCTTGTAGTGCACTCCTTTGTAAACTTGGAATTTTGCCCTCCAGCAGAGACCTTGAAAATGAAGGGCTTGTAGAGTCCTTGCTGGCAATGCCAGTTTATAGTTCTGGTGAGCAATGATCCTAGATTTTTTCAGATACACCCTATTTCAAATATTCTGTCCTGTTGTCTGACCATATGTCTTTAATTTGGATTCAGAAAATATGATCATTGCCATCTGACTTATCATCAAAACATACTCCCAGAGTGCAATTCCCCACACTCCCTGCCTCTCCGAGCCTCATATAAGACAGACACATAGAAAACCTGGTAATTTATAGAAAGCCACTAATTTGCAAGACAAAGGAAAATCCAACTGTACCATTAAGTAAGATGGTCCTTGCCCATCATCAAATTGCTTGAAAGCTAAAAAATGTAAGTGCCACATAGTAATCAGAACTGATATTCGTGGAGCAGTTACTGTGCATAGAGCACCATCACCTCACCTGAGCCTCCCATCTCTTTGAGACAGATATCATGAACCCCATTTATGAAGGACTGTATTACTTAGCTCTGGCAACTAAGTTCAGGACTTGAACTCTGCCCTTCTCCTCCCTGCTCTTCCACTACCTCACAGTCCTTTCAGGATTATACCTCTTCAGGTATTGCAGACTGTGATCATGACCATGCACGGCCCTCTCCCCCTCGTGAAGCAGGAAGACTGCATAAATAGCCTCTCCCAGTGTCTGTACAAAGCTCACTCAACAACAACAACAACAACAACACCCAGCAATTCAAATCCATATCCTGACAAGAAGGCAGATTTTTGTTTTGAATTTCCTTAAATTGAGTTGTAGGGGTTTCACACAGTTCTGCGCACAGAAAACCTTCTTAGATTTTCTCCTCAGACACTACTCTGTTCCCCCCAGAGTTTTAAACTCAAAGTTTCTGCTAAAACCTTCTTTTATCCCTGACCCTCTCCCTCCAGCCCCATACTTTTCATGTCTCCTCTTTGGCCCTTCACTTCTGCCACCTTTCCTGTCATTCCTTACCATTTCTAAAGGGTTTTTTCACCCACTAACTGGCCCTGAGGGACCACTCTCAGATACTTAGAGTATCTGATATCTTCTCTGACCACCATCCTCACATTGCTTATTCTGGAAGGAAGCCCACAGCGACTCCCGGGAAGTAGTGGTCTTTCCTCACCCTCACAGATTTTCCCCTCAGAGAATTTTGTTGAGAATCTCACCTCAATAACAGTGTACTTTGTAGGAGGGAACAAATTAGGGAAGTATTTATTTTATGCCATGTCCTGATGGGCAGGGCGATGTAGTAGAGATTTAGATTAAGATTTAGATTAAGATTGATCCAATTTAGCCACCTGTCAGCTCTGTGATCTTGGGCAAGTTTATTTTCTATTCTGCCTCAGCTTCAGTACTCCTAGGACTATTGTGAGAATCAGAGGAAATAATGTATATCAGGAGCCTCGGACGTAGGCACTCTGTATTTTTGTAACGTCATAAATAGATTTCTGCAGAAGAGGAAACTGAGTTTTTCAGAAATTAAATACTTGACCTACGTCACAAAGCTAGTGACAGAGCCAAAAAGAGATGTGGGCCTATAACTAGCAACAAGGGACCAGGTGTTCCTGCTACATTCATTCCGTGCAGGTCTTCTGTGGTGAACCTCCCACATGGGGATTTCATTGTTCCTGAAGGTCTGCTTGCCTGCAACCTCACTGAGAAGTTTTCATCTGGGATTAGATCAGGAGTTCATGTGTTTCATCATCGATATTACTTCTGTTCTCCCTTCTACCCCATGAAAACAAAGTACGCATGCTTACATACAATAGAACACCTGAATTAAGTATTATTTTTCTTGTCACAGTTCTGCTTTCTCTGATAGCTTGAAAGTTATGATTGTCTGGACAATTTCAAAATAATTAAAACAAGCTTTCATTTCAACTGAAAAGTAATCAATCATTTCATCTGAGCTGATGTGGAATAACAGGGCTCTTGGAGTTTCCTTTATACCTACAACAAGGTCAAAATAAAAAGTGTACTTGTTTGACTTAACTGCCTTCAAATATATTTAATAGTGCAACAAATACTTCATACCATTTCTATTTGTGTGGATCAAGCTTCAAAATGCGTTGTATGCTCTCATCAGAATCTAATTGGCAATTCTAAAGATTATTTATTTGTTGATAAACCCATTGACATTGACATCAGTTTGTAACTCTAAGGCAAGACAGCCTTGACCAAGAGCATATTTTTCAAAAACAGTGTAAAATTCATTGACCTTCTCTACTGAATGTACTCCTAACCAACACACCAAGTTTTGATCCAGAAAGTGAAAGTCATCCTTTGGCAAACTTTAGATCAGGCAAAATTTGGCTTCATTGTCTTCTCAGCTTTTGAATTCAATGTGTTATGGCACACTTTTACTTCTCTGATAGCAAGGACTTTATTATTATGGATATGTATTACATATTATGTAACATTCATCATAAGATCTTACTCCTCTTACGGTTGTTTGACTTTTAAAAGAGGACAACAAAAAGGTGAATGTTCAATTCTAGGTAGTACCAAAAGAGACTAAGGATTTTGAAAGCATTACCTTAAAAAGAATTTTTACATATGGGATCACATTTTTTCCTTTGGGTAGCCGTATGTAGATGGTGTTTTATTATTCCCTTATCCCCCCTTTTCCAAATAAAAACACTGAGATCCCAAAGATAAAAATAGTTATCTATGTGATCAAATAGTTCAAACACAGACCTTTGGCCAGTAGAACTTTAGCCAGAAGAGACATGTGTGACTTCTAGAGAGAAGTCTCTAAAAGACAGTGTGCAATTTTATAAAGCTCTCTCTGCCATCAACTTTCCAGTTGATGAATACTTTTTCATCTGATATCTTGGAGTGAGGACCAAAGGGATATGTAACGTGAGCAGAAAATAAAACTGTTGTTTTTAAATCATTAAGATTTCAGGGATGTCTGTTACTGCAGCATAACCTAAACTGTCTGACTGGCACTGCCTAAATTCCAATTTTGTTCTCAGCCTGGATATCTGCATTTTGATACTTCCCAAAGTATAATACAATTTTTACCTCAAAATTGATCACCCTCCGGTCCTCCAAATTTGTTAATGGTGCTACTGCCCTAGGATTCATCTCAGTCCTTCTCTATCACACTCACATCTAATCAGTCATGGAATCCATTCACTCTAGCTCCTAAATACCTTCATATGACCTATATATTCCATTGTAGCTGGTGCTACCTTGGTTCATGCCAGAGTTTTTACAAACCCTTCCCAGTTAGTTTCTAGCTTTTCAGTTTGCCACTTCTTCAATCTGTCCTGCACAAGAAAACAGCACGATTAAGCTTTCTAAAACATAAAGCTGATCATATCCCTTCTCAACCTAAAATAATTCAATGTTTTCCTTTTTCATTCAAGATTAAGTCCAAAGGGACTTAAAACCATTAAGTTTAAATGAGCTACAAGGCCTTTTATGCTATTGTCTCTGGCTACCTTTCAGGACTTATTTCTCTCTCACACACAGACTCTGTGCTCTAACCATACTAAACTTCTTGGAGGAATTTGCACTACTATTTCAGATTTTGTGCCTCTTTCTTTGCTTCTCTCATTACCTGCAGTGCTCTCCCAGCTCAGCTCCCATCAACATCTATATATTTTCTAGCTTGTACCCAGCCTTCAAGAATGGCTTCGATCGGTGCCTGGGTGGCTCAG